AACACAGTAGTTACTGAAAAATATTTCATCTTTGCTTTAATTTTTTTGTTTACCACGTTTTTTGCTCCTAATTCCGGAAATTATTATTGTTATTGTAGTTGTTGTTGTTTTTGTTGTTTCATTAAACAATGAATACGTTGTTTTCTAGATTCTAGTCTCTATTCTAATATCAGGATTTAAGTATTGCTGGCAGATCATTTCAGAGTAAACCTGTTTCTACATTGTGCGCTGTGCCCAGTGTATTTGGATCGAAACTCATTTTTAATTCACCGGCTAAGACGATTTCTGATATGCAACCCACAATGCCGCTGGCGTAGCGTTGCCTGGTAAAATATTGAACGTCTGGCATTCCACCTGTATGATTAAGTTGAAAAAAAGTTATATGTCGATCAAGATATATGTGTCTTTTGAAGTGGTAGAGAGGAAGAGATGTAAAGCAGCTCCGGATCAATATATAATAAAATATATTGTCAAATAAGTCAATTTTTTATTTTTTTTTGTTTTTATCGCACAGAGAGTGTACTTTTAAGGTTCGTATTACTATTGAAACACTTTCATGTTTTCCAAAAAGGGGTTTACAATAGATTGGCTGGCCAATCATTGTATAAATAATAAAAAAGTCATAAAAACAATCAAAAATTCCACACCATCCTCTAATTGCGAATAACTTACCCACGTATAAACCTGTATCGGTATTTAATTGCCGTAATTTGCCCGGAGATCTCAGCGAGTTGCTTTTGCGACCGTCTACTTCTAAATAGCCTTCTTGAGAATCTCTACATGTTTGCAAATAAATTTTAAAAAGACAAAAAAATGGTAAAGCGAATATTTCTTGTTACCTTATAGCACGAACACGATGCCATAAGCCATCGCTTACTTTGGTAGCATTAAATCGTATATCAATCTCGCCCGAACCCAAATTATAGCGAAAGTGTAAGTAACTAGAATCGAGTTGAATGCAAATTTTTATAAACTTAATGGAAAGAATGTACATAAAAAGGTTTATTTACCCATTTTCAATGCCCAAAGATAGATAATCATCCTTATCGCGATCTGTTGATCCCACTTTACCGGTCCATAAGATCACTCCATTGTCTGATCGAGTTTTGATGCGCAAATTCAAATCAATTGTATAGCTAATGATTTGGCTCATCGTTTCGGCATCGTTGTAATGGAAATAGCTGTCGTGTCCGGCAAAACAAGCACCAAAATTTTTGCGGACTCCAATAGTATGATGTGGTTGATCGGAGTCCAAATCGAATTTGCTAAGTAAGCTCCAGTCAGTTTGAGTTTGTGTACTTGTCGTTATACTGGTTGTTGGTTTTCTGTTCTCATCTAACAATTTCGGTGTTATGGCCGTATAGTCGACGTCTATAAGTTTCAGATTATCGACAACTATTCCATCATTGGCATTGCTTTCTTCTTTGTTGTCGTTATCATTACTATCGCTATCGTTTTGTTTGGTCAGATCTAATTCCTCGCTATAATCATATTCGCTGATTACTAACTGGGGCATTTTCGGTACATAGGGCCCTTTTGTGTTTGCCATAATTCGTTTCATGTCCTGAGCAAATTGTTTGCGTTGATATTCTTCGGTGCCATCGCTAGCATCAAACAGTGAAGCATCCATAACAAATGTCTTTTGCTGATATTTGTCATCATTAATCTCATCATCAATTTCGTCAGGCTCTGCCTCGTCTGTTTTCGTTGGAGCTAATTCTCTAAGCTGGTCTTCCACCATTATAGGATCATCAAAAGTCAATATGTCACTACCGGTATTAGCTTGAAAACTTTCATAATGGGTTGGCAAACGACTTAGCTTATGCTGAGTTTTATCCTCCAAAGTTGTTTTGTGATTGGGGTGAAAACGATGGTAGTGTTGTTTGTGTAAGCTTTTGCTTTGATGATGATTCGTTGCTCGGCGCTTGTGTTTGTTCTCTCCAATTCGTTGTGCATTTTTGTCATCGTAATTATACTGTTGTTGTTGTTGTTCTTGCTGCTTTTTTTCTCGCTCCTTCTGCAAACGTTCACGTATTGCCTTAACTTTCTCAAATATGATATCATCTTCAATTTCATCAGAATCTTCATTTTCTTCATTCATGTCTTCACTGTCTTCGCGTCCTTGCTCCTCCTTATCTTGGTCTTGGGAATCGCTAAGTGTTATTAAATCTAAGCTTTGCAATGCTTGCCAATTTATTGATTCAATAGTGTCGTCTGTAAGTGCTGTTGTCTGCGTTGTCGGTATAGTGGCCTTTGTTTTAGCAGTAGTAGTAGTAGTAGTAGTTTTTGTTGTTGTTGCCGTTGCTTTGGCGATTGGCATTGTTCTCTGTGCGGTTTTATGCTGTTGCAAATACCATCTCGTGTAAGGTTTGTTTACAATCTTTTTTTTCTCATTATTCTCAACCAGCTGCTGCCAACGTTTTTGTTTTATTTTTAGGCCGCTTTTCTGTGTTAGGTCATCCCCATGTTGCTTGGCTTCTCTGGCCGCAACTAACTTGCTTGTTGCTTGCGGTTCCTTGGCCAAGACTTTCTGCTTACGTAACCTATTGAAGGATAATTCTGCCTCTCTATTGCACTGCGTGTTGTAGATGTTACAACGACATTCATAACTTTCCATCTGCGGTATACACTCTGCTAGGGGGCCACAGGGTCGAGCCACACAGGCATGAGGGCAATTGCCTATGTTAGTGCCGCCCAATGCTTCAGATATAATTGCCAACGAGTGGCCGTTTATCTCAATCTAAAGAAAAAACAAAAGAAAAAAAAAAGATAGAAAAGAAAGCAAATATGAAAGAAAGTAAATTCATTCATTTTGGCCACAAATTGCCTGTCGCTGTAATAACAGCATAGAAATCTTCTACTTCTTTTCTTTCTTGTTATTGTTTTTTTCTGCTTTTTTTAATTACTTACACGTTGTATACAACCCACAAGAAAAGGTTTGCTTTTTAAATCTAAAGGCAATTTGTCGACATGATTAACACCACCAACAAAGAGATTTTCCGGCAAAGAAAGATGCCAAAAACCATTTGAAGATACTGTCATGATTTCAGGTAGTTGATCGATCTTTGTAATATAAAAGGTCAGTAGCAAACACATGAGAAGTGAAGTAAAAAAGATGACAGGAGACCACTTACCTTTAATACAGCTAACCTGGCAGTGCGAGATATTTGTATTGTATGCCATTGGCCTATGGCTAAAGCATATTCGCTCCTGGGTTTTCATAAAGATGGACACACAAAAATATTTATATAAAATTCATAAATGGAAAGAATGAATGCAATCATATAAAAAATCGTGTGTGAAAAGTGTCCGCTATTGTGTAAAGGCATTGCATGTAATTAAAAACGTAACTGTACTCGTCATAACAATTATTTTCCGAGTGCCTAAGATAATTAGTGCGTCTAGGCGTAAGTTAATTAAAAAACATTGACTAAAAAAAAAGCTATTGGTCGATTAGCCGGGAGTCCAAGTCTTGACAATGAACGCCTGATGTCCATACACTTTCGGACATTTTGCTTGAAGGATTCTCCCCGCATCAAAACTCTTTCAACTCTCTTTCACTTTTCGGATATAAGCAAGTAAAAACATTGTGACCTCGTGACGAATATATTCCACTCAAGAAGTGGAAAGCGGTGGGAATATTTGCCGCAAAGCTATTGAAGGAACACAGAAACGAGCAGCGTTACCGTAGGCTCATAGATAGTGCCTAAGCCCCTATGAAGGTATACCAAAGGGTTCTTGCCACAAGACATGATAGTACAAAGTCCCAAAGCGGGCAGCTTTTGATGTTTTTTCCACGTCAAAAAATACCCTACAGTTGTTCATATGTCCACATTTTAGATAAAGACGTTGTATGGGAAGAGGTTGAAAAATGGTCCGATAAGGATCATTTTCAATAGCGTTCGATAGGTTCTTGGACCAAAAGACGTCAATATTCAAACTTCATCAAAATATCTCATAACTCTCGGCCTGTAAGTTGCGCACAAGAAAACAAGACAGATAGATGGGCAGACTATCTAAGGTCGACTCAGAAAATGATCCTGTATAGATGGGTATAATAAAAGGTGGGTCTACCTTCAGCCCTTCTGGGTGTTACCTATTAGTCACACAAACTTAGTATACCTTTGTACCACAAATGATGTAGAGTATAAAAAGCGAAATTTATTGTTTATGCCGGATAAGTAGCTCTCGAAAATGCCAGCCAACTCTTTAGCTTTCACTTAACGATGCCCACAACAACCATAGCCAAAATTTATGGAAATTTCAAATATTAAGAGAACACGATTTTTCTCAAATATGATTGTAGAGTGTAAAATTTTGTCAATTTAAAATTTATACCTGACCACCGCTGGGCCACTGCCCAAATCAAAGATGAACTCGACAAAACCATTAGTCAAAGCTAAAGCGATAAAATCGCCATGACGTTTAGCGCCCGAATATAAAATCAAACCATCCGCTTGCTCTGGCTTTAAAATTACCTAAAATTTTTGGAAATGTGTTAAAGACCTTTAAATAATGTAACGAATGTAAAAAGAAATATTGCAAACCTTTAATTCCAACCATATTAAGGCACTATCGCCTAAAGGAGCATAACGCAAAAATGAGGAACCATTAAAGGAAGGAACCTAAAAAAACCAAAAGTTGTGCACTTAAATCGAGGATTAAAAAAAAATCCTCAGCTTTTACCTGTAAATCCATGCGAATTTCACATAAATCACCTACAAAACCTATAGGACACAGACACATCGCTCCTTGATCGGAAGGTAAACATTTACCGCCATGTTGACAAGGATATTTAAAGCATTTGTCAGTAACGCAATCCTCTACAACATGTAAATGAAAGTTTATTAAAAATATTTCCAAACTAATTGAACACAATATTACTTACGTATATCAAATCCTTTGCTGACATCACCTAAAGGATGCTCTTCAAATTTATAATCGTGAGCATTAGCCACAAAACGGCGTATGCAACCAGCAAAGCCATTTGAAATAGGTAAACGTTTAGTTAAACCGGTTATGTTGCCCGTGCCACCCAAAAA